CCCCAAAACCCCAAAACCCCAAAACCCCAAAACCCCAAAACCCCATACGATAGAGTTCATATTGAATCTGAGAAAAGAAGTAGTTTTGCTCTCATGAGTGATAATTAATTTGGAAGAAATCTGTAGGGTGCTTAACCCACACAAATATTTGTCTGTTAATCCTTCTACATATGCTGGACAGGGATATAGACAGGGTTATCGCATCCATACCAATTCTCGAGGTATTCCCATCCTTTAGAATTAATAAGAACATAGTCATAGATCTCAGTCATTTCTTTCTTAAGGTTGACCATTTGGTTTAGAGGGTTGAACTCAGAAATATCCTTGTTAGAAATTTTTCCTGGCTTTGTATACATTAATGACGTGCAGCTTGATAATAACTCATTTTCAGCAATGTCATTTCTTCAGATTTCATCAAAAATGTTTTGATTAATTGAATTTTCTTGACACTCAAGTGTATCATTTTCTAGCGTTTCAAAGTTTCTAGAATTCTTGAGATAGCAACCTGTTCGCATCGACTTTTCCCCATTTGTCTTGAAACTTTTGAGGATGTTTTCCAGGCTTGAAGAGTCCATATCGATAGGATTGAAGAACTCTACATTGACGTAATCTCACCACTTTTGCCACCACTCTGAGCTTATCCCATTATAATAGATTGGACATTCTTGGCTGAAGTTCATAAATGATATTGACATATAGATTATCTTTTTCTGACAGCTTGGGGATAGATTTATACAATAAGGACTTCACGGGGCTCACTGGTTGTTCTGATAGTGCTGATTTTCACTAATTGAACTTTCACAGTACGATCCTAATTCACTAGAGAAAGAATCATTGACCTCTATTTTGGCAGTTTTTGGTTTTCACTTATTAACACAGCTACATTGTTTAGCACTAATAGCTGCATCTGTATCTATTTTATGAAGGCTTGGGATGTCTCCACAGTCAGAATAATGCAAACTCCCAAATTTTCCTGAATCAAAGTTCAACTCTGGGTGAGAATCAGACATATTATTGGATAATGACTTCAAGTTCAAATTTGTTTTAAACTCCTGATTAGCTACTGTGTTCCTTTTCACAGAGATATCATCGTCTGAGCTAAGATCTCAGTTAATTAGAGTAGCAAATTTATCATTATTCTTGTTTGAAATATATGTGGTAGGGACTATTTGAGCACTCATATCAGGAGCAGTCTGACTAAAGCAAAGCTTTGCTAACTTAGGCTTAATGCCTACATTCTCTCAAATCGAATTTGGAACTGATGTCCTCCTCTTCTTTCTGAATCTTTTTGATCTAAGCCTTTTGTTTTCAGATTTATTTATGATTCTGATATTCAAAGAACCTGCCAATTTTGTTTCTATCTCTTGGTTCAACATGGACATTTGAAGAATGAGATGCTTGCCTTGCATTAGTCCCCCAAAACTGAGGTTTCTTAGCAGAAATACACAAATTAATATCAAATTTCTCTGACTTGGAAATTTTCTGCTCCAGAGCTCTATTCGAACCACCCCTATACATCTCCAACTTCTGTTGCAACTTCTCAACCCTCTGCTCCAACTTTCTTATCCTCCCAACATAGCTCTTCTCCTTCTCTTCAAACAAACTCTCAAAATACCTCCTCAAAATTTCCTTCGATTTCTCCAAAGTCTCGTCTACTTCACTCACATAAGTAAAATTATCCTCTATGTATCAGTCATCATTGTCAACTTTGGGCATGATCCTACTACAAATTATACTAGGCTTGCAGACCTTCATTACTAAATTATTATATAATCCAACTGTTCGTTAGAACATGGGGTTTTGGGGTTTTGGGGTTTTGGGGTTTTGGGGTTTTGG